GCTAAAGCTCAAAATTAGGGCACACAATGTTTATGCCCTTTTTAAAAACTTCCCTGCTATAGAGTAGGCGAAAAACAGCGTGTGATTAAAAAAGATGAACTTGTAAATTAGCATAATATGGACACTTTAACACCCACTTTTACATGACTTGAAATATTATGTATATCCATTAGTCAAAACATGTGAACCTTCAAATATATTCACTTCTTGAAACACCTAGAATTATGGAATTTATTTATTTGTTATTTTAATATATTTCCAGTCTAATTTCAATAAATAAAATATGAAAGCAGTTTTGTCATTACAGCAGAAATATCTCCGCTTTCGGTTGCAAGCGTTTTTTGTATGTTGGTTATTAGGTCCGTGTTAAAGCTTTGTTGTCTGTTCTAGCTATTTGCTACATGTAGGTGTTTGCAAGTATGTTGCCAGGTTGTTCTGAGTCATTGTTAGAGCATTGCGAAGTGGTTGCCATGCAGGGAGACAGACCGGTCGATATAAAAAGACATAGCTTACTCAAGTCTGAACAGAGCGCAAGATCTCATATGTTGCTGGTGTGGAATCAAAGTGTTTGCTAGATTTAGCAAGACTTTGAAGCTCTCATCCTTCAAGTACACTTCTGCAGCAGAGCTTTCAAGCAACACATCTGACATTACAATAGAAAGAAAGCTACATTTATAAAATGGATAGTCTATATGCAGATGATTTGAATGACCTTTAAGTATTTACGTGTTCTAATCACCATCACAAAAATGACTCATTTGTTTTTGGGCTAATAAAACAGGCTAATAAAGGAGAATACCTATATCTTACAGCATTTGTTAAGCACTGGGAAACAATGAATTTGAACCACCTGAAACTATTTTGCAAATATCAAAAAGAGGGGGTTTTATTGTTGTTTTTATAAGGGATGGAAAAATGTCATCCTGATGCTGAATGTAGCATTATAGGTTATTTAATACATAACGTTGTATCTCTTGAATATGATTCATGTTAAAACAAGCAAATGTTGACCAGCCTCAGTATAAACAGAAAATTACTGCAATAAATTTTCTGCATATTGGTAGGTATCAAAAGGGGCCGTTGTATTAACATGGGACAAGGAACAACAGACGGATAGTGATTTCAGCGTTCTGGCATGATGAGGATCTAGGCCTACACTTCAGCCTGGATTGAGATACGTGAAGGAAGTGACATGGCTGGAACAAGAATAAACACTTGAGACGAGCACTATGCTTGAAGTTCTGCGAGCCGAGGAGGATCCAGAAGCTGAAGTGTAAAGGTATCTTAAGCGTTTTTGGTGATTGCAGGATGAATTCTGAAATGAGTAGCGGCTTCTTGTCCGTTTGGATCCAATACAGGGTCTAAAACTAGGGCTTCCAACAATACGTGAGCTATTTCTGAGCAACAGGATGTACTAATATTACACTGACGACACAGCGCCATCTGCTGGTGATGAATACAAACCTAGACAGCTGCTTCAGGAGCTAATCAGTTGCTTATGGAGCCTGTAAATGTGACTCATTAAAAAGTTATTTTCAGAGAGATAAACCATGATGTCTGAAAATCAACATTTTGTTACTATATGCTAAAACATATGAAATACCTAATATTGTTCCTAAAATGTGAGTTAATCAATATTGTGAGTTACTCTAGTAATATCACACAATCATGCTGATAATCTGATCAACATCATAATTGTGCTGCTGCTTTTACCAGTTACCTACCTACCTATCTATCTACCTACCTACCTACCTACCCATCTATCATCTATCTATCTATCTACCTACCTACCCATCTATCTATCTATCTATCTACTTTGTTCCAGGTCTTCAAGCAACACACTCTAATTGTACTAGTTAAGTTTATTTTTTTCCTTAATGAAGCATTGTTTTTGAATGAATCATTAGAATGAATGATTCAATGACTCATACGTCACCACCTACTGTTTTATTCCTGAATGAATCATTTGAATATTGACTCACTTGTTTGTCACCATAATTCTGACTTTTCCATTTACTAAAGCTTTTTTTTCCTTCTGTGGAGGCAGTTGGTCTCCATAGTCAAATAACCTACTGAATTGAATGCTACAATCTTCTGACAATGGCAGTCTCATGTGCAGTCTCTCTCTCTCTCTGTGTGTACATGTTTGTCTATCCTGGTGGGGACTTAAACCTGAATACACACCAACTCATGGGGACTTGTGTCACCGTGGGGACCTAAATTGAGGTCCCCATGGGTAAACAAGCTTATAAATCATGCAGAATTTGTTTTTTGAGAATGTAAAAATGCAGAAGTTCATCTGTGTGTGTGTGTGTGTGTGTGTGTGCATTTGGGGTGGTTAGATGCTTGCAGAAGAGATGTGTTGAAATTATTAGATAAAAAGTCAACGATGAGATGAAGTCAAATTTATGATATACTAACAAATGCAGAAGCTTTTATCCAAAGCAACTGGCAAAAGAGGAACTAAAGCAATTTGTCAAAGAGCCAACAATATTTGTAATATACAACGGCAGGTTGATTAGCTAGGAAGTGAACTAGAGAATGGTCCCCATGGGTAAACAAGCTTATAAATCACGCAGAATTTGTTTTTTTGAGAATGTAAAAATGCAGAAGTTCATCTGTGTGTGTGCGTGTGTGCGCATTTGGGGTGGTTAGATGCTTGCAGAAGAGATGTGTTGAAATTATTAGATAAAAAGTCAACGATGAGATGAAGTCAAATTTATGATATACTAACAAATGCAGAAGCTTTTATCCAAAGCAACTGGCAAAAGAGGAACTAAAGCAATTTGTCAAAGAGCCAACAATATTTGTAATATACAACGGCAGGTTGATTAGCTAGGAAGTGAACTAGAGAAGAGGAGAAATTCAGGGAGGAAATATAGTTTTTGTGAGTGTGTGTGCAGGTTCATGTATTCCCTACATTGTGGGGACAAAATAAAGATTTTTTTTTAATCTTATAGTGAAATTTTTTTGGTCCCCATGAGGAAAACAGCATATAAATCATTCTAAATTATGTTTTTTGAAAATTTAAAAATGCAGAAAGTTTTCTGTGAGGGTTATGTTAAGGGGTAGGGGATAAAATACAGTTTGTTCATTCATTATATCTATGGAAGCAAAGTCCCCAACATGGAAACTATGTGTGTGTGCATTGGTTTAAAGGGTTAGTTCACCCAAAAATGAAAATTCTGTCATTAATTACTCACCCTCATGTCATTCCAAACCCGTAAGACCTTCATTCATCTTCGGAACACAAATTAAGATGTTTTTGATTAAAGGGGTCATATGCTAGAAAGGAAAAATTGAAATCGCATCATATGACCCCTTTAAATCCGAGAGCTCTCTGACCCTCTATAGACAGCAACGCAACTGACACATTCAAGGCCCAGAAAGGTAGTAAGGACATCATTAAAATAGTCCATGTGACATCAGTGGTTCAACTGTAAATGTTATGAAGCTACGAGAATACTTTTTGTGCGCAAAATAAATAAATAAATAAATAAAATTACTTTATTTAAAAATTTCTTCTCTAATATTCTGGATTGAATAAGTAAGGCTGGACAAAAAATTGCAAGTCAGCCTCTCTGTCAAAATCTTCAGACGTTTATGAAAACTGTTTTATGTACAGCATCTTCCGCTGCTTGTAAACAAGGCGCAGCACATCCGGGTTTTATGTCAGAACGGAGACTGACAGAAGAAATTGTTAAATAAAGCCATTATTTTTGTATTCTTTTCACAGAATCGACAGAATTGCATTTTTGGCTGAACTAACTCTTTAAGGTGTGGGGTATGGGCCGGTTAAGTGATTTCTGAAGAGGTGTGTCAAAATTATGAGATAAAGTCAAAATTATGAGAGTCAGTAAATAGGATTAGGAAAAAAAACTAATGCTTTGATAAATCAATTATTACAAAAAGTCCAAATTATGATATACTAACTCATAGTTATGAGATAAAGTCAGTAGTGATGAAACAAATGCTGTCATTATGAGTTAAAGTCATAATTATGGTATAAAAAGTCGAAATTGAGCTAAAAAGTCAAATAATCATAAATAGGATCAGATTTTAATATGATGCGAGCATGCAATTCAGAAGGTTATTTGCATATGGAAGCCCATTTCCTCCACATCAGGTAAAAAAAAGGCTTTAGTAAATCATAATTATGACATAAAATGTCAAAATTATGAGATTCCAAGTCATAATTACGAGATAAAATGTTCAATTATTGGATAAAAAGTCGAAATAATGAGATAAAAAGTCACAATTATGACATAAATTGAAATTGAGATCAGATTTTATTATGATACCTAATAAACACACACACACAAAATGTTTTTTATCCCACAATTATTACTTAATATATAGTAATTTTGACTTTGATGTCATAATTATTATTTACCAATGCATGATTTCATCATATTTGTTAATTTTTATATCATCAATTACTTTATCTAATTGTTTTAATGTTTTGCTTTCTTCTGGTGTTACATGGTTTATCAGAAAAATAATAACAGGCTAATAATAATAACTTGCCTAAAATGGGTTGCAAATGCAGTTTCAATTTGACTTTAAGAACACTGATCTCTGATCTAACACAAATCAACATGCTTTTGCTCTGCTCAGCCAATAAATCATCATTCATATGCATTACTCACATGTAAGCGTGTATTCTTATCAGCGCATTTCATCACCGGACGTGGGAGGAAACCACAGGAGTTCACTTGCATCTTTCAAAGCATTTCAACACACACAGCCTCTTTCGGTTCAGTTTGAGGAAGGATTCAGTTCTTTGTTCTTGGTGATTCCGGTGGTCTCTACAAAGTTGGATATTTATAGAAGCAAACCCTCAACATCTACACTCACTTGTAATTATTTGGACCTAACAAAACTGAAAAATATCCTAAGTTTTGCAGCATCTTTAAGGAACATCGTATAGCACTCAAGCAGTAATCAGCAGTCCATTGACTTCACCTGTGCTCCTGTGTAAGGCCTTTGAGAGTCCATGTAGGAAACAATACTGTTGACCAATGGGAAATGTGCCTGCTCTCTGGAGGACTGCAGCACACGGCTGGTGGTTGAAGTGTTGCTGAACAGGAAGTTGCTGAGTAGAATTGAGAGAACTTCAACAGACATGAGGGTCTCTTATCAGACTCTAGTCTTGCTTTTCTTAGCAGGCTCATGCTCGCTCGGTAAGATGTTTTTATTAGATTTTCCTTTAATTCTTTCTGTAGATAAAGATGTTTACTTTTGTGTATTTTCTGGTAAGGATGTACTACATGGACACTTAAATTGCTAAGATATAGTCTATCCAATCGAGTAATTTGCTGTCTATATGGAAACCTGTTTACATTTTTCTTCTTCGACTTCAGAGAAAGTTCCAGTTCACACATTCGTCAGCAGACCGATCCCAGGAACTCTACAGAACGTCAGCAAGAATGACACTGGGGTGAAGGAGGCCGTCCTGACTGGAACCTACTCATTTAATAATAAATCCAACGATGCTTTCCTGTTCAAAGCATCAGCTGTTGATGACGCAAAGAGACAGGTATAACTCAAGGTGCCCGTACGTCTCACTATGTGTGTGTAATGTGTATACATACCTCATCCAGTCTTTGCTCTGCCATAGATAGTCAAAGGCATCCGCTATATTCTGGAAGTGGAGATCTCACGGACCGTGTGCAGGAAGAGGGGCAACACTGACGACCTCAACAACTGTCCCTTCCAGACAGACAGTCTGTTACGACAGGTGTGTCTGCTTTTCTATAGAGCTAGAGAAGTTAAAATG